ATCTTTCTGGATTGGTTATGCCAGTATCAGGGGTGAGTTCTAAGTGGCCTGTGTCAAATCCTAGCTGGTGGTTTATTTATTTTTAAAAATGACATTTAAAAAGATATGCAAATACCATTTCTTTAAAAAAATGCATCTCATTGTTTTACAAGCAAGATAATGCTGCCAGCGTAATGAATCCTCGCCCTAAATTTATCTTCAACAACGCAGAGCCTGCCCACAGTTAGCCCTAGTGGTAAGTGCTCATGTTCGACAATACGTCTTTTTAAAATCCAGTACTAAAAAGGTTGTGTGTTTTTTTTTTTTTTCTTTGTCATGCCCCAATCCCTTCCCCCTAGCTCCAACCCCAGCTTTAAAAAACATCATTCCTTTCAAAACAAGGAAAAAATTAAAAACTGGTCTAAGAGTCCCCAAAACAGAGAAAGAACTAGATTAGGTAACTGCAGTCTGCTTCTACCACATAGAGAACATGGAAAGAGACCTCACTGGGTAACTAATTTGTATATATTTACACGCACACACGTGCTTGTGTATGTGTGTGGGTGGGTGCGTGCATCTATCGCACACGCACTCACAAACAACAGTTACATAGTCCTGAAATATCAGTCCTACAGTTACAAACCCTGTCGGTAGGAAAGTTTAAAATCACATCAATACAAAACTGAAATGATTTTGTACAGACAACATTTGGTTAGCAGAAAACTCTTGTAGGCAACAGATTCCTTTAGTAGACGATCAGGGCCTGAGCCCATGGGATGCAGATCTCCCTCTGGTCCCACCGAGCCTACATCTGATGGTTTGCCAAGGAACAGGCTGATCTTACAATCAGGTAAAGTTTAACAAAGTTTTTAAAGGTGCGGTAATGCTGGTTGATTGATAATAGGTCTGGTCAGATATTGTTTTGTCAAACAGGAATTCGTCAGAAAAAACAGTTTCAATAAAACTATTCGTGTGTATGTATACATAAGAAATCATACTGATTTCAGTGAAGTTTCCCCTGGAAAACAAAGTTAAACTTTGTTCGTTCAAGAAAAATTCTACCATAAAAATGTCAATCTTTTTTTTATTCTTAAGTTTAAAAATGTCCTTTCAAATGTTATACGTTTGATCATTTTAAAGTTACTTCATGACATCTGTACTGACATGTCATGCAATACAAACTCAGTTAAAGAAATGCTCTGTTGTTTCAGTTTCCAGCTCTTTAAGGGCTGCTGCTACTTACTATGGACTGAAAACATCTCTTCTTTCCTGGAGACACTCTGATCTGGAGATACAAGAGGCACCACTACTGACATGTCAGGAGAGAACGAGCGCTACAAACAATGCGAAAATGAAAAAGCGTAAGAACAACATTTGGAAACGAAGAGTCACCAATTTCTTTCCTGAAGCGAAGGTCATGTCAAAATGGATTTCTCCTGTGAACTGCCCTTTCACAGGGAACACCTTACTTTCCACGAAAACAAAGCTTCCCACTAAATGGTAGCCCAAGTCGCAGCTGGGGATTATCAAAGATATGCAGGTGGTTCTTCGTATTCCTTGGCAGGTTTGGTTGCTCGTTTTCCTTGCAAATGCCCAAGCTAGGACAGGGTTGCCAACTAAAACGGGGATCCTCCTCCAGCACTGCAGACAGTCCCAGGCCAGGCCCCCTTCCATCACTTCACGCTCGGTCCCCAACCCTTTGGCTCTAACCTTTCCACTGATTTCGGTGGGACAGACCTACGCGTCCTAGAGGGACGTCTGTACCCTGGCCGCGCTCAGCGGGGTTGTCCCTGACGTCGGGAAGACGGCGGCACGCTGCAGAGCCAGGTCCCTGGGCTTTGCACGGCAGCGATGCTGGCGAGAGCGGCTGCCGGGCGGGCTGCTACGGCCTCCAACGCCGGCCGTGGTTTGTTCTCCGCACGGGAGCGACCACCACGTCACACAGCTCAGGTTAATGCACACAGGAAAAGCTTTCAAGCAGGGAAAACTGGGAGCTTGTTTATCCAAGTGGTCATGGTACTGAATTGGCTGTAATTATTTTAATTAAAATACTAGTTGGTTTTGATAATGCAAGTCTCAGACAGTAAGAGAAACACAGATGAAACCTGACCCCATTAAAAAAAACCTAAGCTCTTAATTAGGTGTATATTACATTTCCTCATAGTAAATTCTGAAAATATATTACTAAGGATCTGTCTAGGGAAAGCTTTTTTTTAAGGGCAGAATTTAAAAAAAATAGAGGAACTAAAAATAAGTCCATTGTTAATGGAAAAGAAAAATCATTAATTTCAGTAAGAATTGGAATACCCTAGTTCATCCACTTTCAAATACTATGGGAAACTATCTGCAAAGACTCAAGAGCCTCCTGCCAACAGGCAAAGCACCCCGGTGACTGCAAAACGAGCTGAAGATGCCCAGCAACTTATAGGAGGAACTCAGTGCCTCACAGCAACACAGCATCGCGCTCTCAGCCCTCAGCAAAAAAAAAAAGGGAATTCTTTTCTACAGCAAACTGTGGAGAGCGTGTTACTGCCACTACACAGATGCGACATGGACAGAGGCACGTCAGCTGCACGAGACGCACAACTGAACGCTCTGAAATGCTGATCTTTGAAAGATGGATTTTTTAAAGACAGATGCGTAAGCGTCTAGCTAATAAAACCTCAGTCAATGGGCAGTGACGGGCAGCTGAACGTGGATGCAGTCTGAAGTGCAAACCATGGAGTGCTAATAACAGGCTGGCCCTGCGCTTCCCCGGCTTTCCAGCAAAGGGACATCCCCCACACCCCACGCATCCCAGCACACAGTCTGCTGTCCTGGCTCTTGGAGGCTGAGCGTGCAATGAGAATCGTGTGCTGGGGCTGAGTCGTCCTCCAGGGCCACTCACCTATGTGAAAAATAAAAGCTGATGCAATCTGCACCACGGGGCCTCTGGCAAACCACTAATAGAGACGGCAGCAGGGTGAATTTTAGGGCTACCCCACAGTACAGGCAGCCTTAGGGGCTGGTGCTGGGAGAGGGAAAGGCATAACTTTCTGTTAAACTCTGTATATTTTTTTTCTTTACAATAAAAAGTTAAGAATTTACAATAAATTTCTGCCCCTCAGATTACAAATTTTATATAATTATAGAACTAGTGTTTTCCTAAAATTGGATTATAAAAGAAAAAACCCACTGTTCTAAAAAAACAAAACAAAAAAACAAACAAACAAACAAAAAAAACCCAAAAGAGAGAGAGGGGGGAAAAGACCTCTGCAAATATTACAGCGAAAATAATAATGTGCTGCATCAAGAAATTGTATCTACCTGTATGTCTCCAAAATCTGTACAAAACAGGAAAAAAGGGGGCTGGGGTGAAAAGATAAAGAAGAGAGAAAACAAAACCAACAATGAACACAAACATGACAGAGCACCAGACGCATGATAGACTGGACTGTAGCACCTGTAGGTATAAAGTCCATTGGATTTAAATAAAGTGTCAGATTTTTATTTGCTTTTTTTGTTGTTTTTTTTTTTTTTTTTTTAAATCTGGTTTAAACCACATTAAAAGTCTGCATTTCTGCTGGTCTGCATAATGCAGCTTTGTTATTTTTTTTAGTAAGTTTTAAATGACCAATGGTGTTTAATAAATAAAGTACTTGTATATACATGAAATTAGGGACAGTGAAAACAGTGTATTGCAGCAATGCAGGTCAAAACATTAGGCTAGACTAAAAAAAACTGCAAGCCTTAAAAAATTGTCTCTTTTCTTTTTTTCTCCCTCCCCTCTTTTTTCTTTTTATTGAGGTAAGCATTTCAGTGTCTGGAAACCTGCACCCTGCATGACACAGAAGTAGCATTCCCTTTGTAGGAGCTCACTACTGAAACGGTAAGGAGGGGGGAAAAAAAAAAACAAACAAACCCCCAAACACACACAACATCCCTCTCCAATTCCCCTGCCAGCTCAGCCTCAGCTGGAGCTCAGTGCTCCTTTATTTTAAGCCCAGACTGAGGTGCTTGTCAAGGAGAAAGTACTTAAGCATGTGTCTAATAACGAGCACATGACTTGCCTTGGTCACTCTGCAGGGATCACTCTGAGGTCCAGCTGAGAACTTTCAGCCAAAACCCGTTTTCAATTAAATGAAAACTTTCATAGAGAGTGGCCATTTCCTGGAAATTATCTATTTGATGTTAAAAATAACATTCCCAAGAAACTTGAGTGTCCCTTGCTCCCTTCTTCCCAACATATCCCCAAGAAAAATGAAAATTTTGAGTGGAAAACCAAGAAATGCAATCACTTGTATTGCTCATGTGCTTAAATTCATGCTTAAATACTTTCCTGAACAGGTGCCTATGCCTCTACCAAGATTAAAAAAAAAAGCATGTTAGCAATCCACAGTACATGAGAATTTTTTTGTGTTTTTGTTTTTATGTAAAAAGATGATAGCATCTGACATTTTCATCACACTGTAGACTTCGAGATTAAGAATACTAGTGCTAATAACAAATACACCAACTAGTTCAAAAGCTAACATCTTTCAGATACAGTACCATTTTACAGAGATTTCTTTAAAAAAAGATTTTTTTTTTTTTTTTTTTTTACCTTGTGTGAGCCAGGCAGGCTTATTAAAAGAGAACATTCTGGGGAGAGGGAAGGGGCGGGAGGGAAATGTACTACAAACCTTGCAGAACTTTCTATTTATCTCCTGCTAAGAGTTCAAAGTTCTTCCATTTTCAACCAATCTTCTTCAGTTAAAATGTATTTTAGAGACTTTATGCAAAGGGAACTATTTGTCATAAAGTCTAGTCTCACACACACACACGCAAAGATCTTTGACCTATGAAAAGAGGGCCCCCAAAAAAATGGAAGATACCTTTTATAACACTGAATTAAAAAATAAAATAAAAAAGTCAGAGAAAGAGAGGGGAAAAAAACCTGACCACCGTGGAACAAGAGCAGTATATTAAGGAGAGAAAGAAACACTGCAGAACATCGGTGAGGGTGATGTCCATTTTGTGTTTTGTGTGTAAGTGTCCATAACTCATTCCGAATCGCTGCTGTCCGAGCTGGAGCCGCTGGAGCTGCTGCTCCCAGACTCGGAGGAGCTGCTGCTGCTGAGCCGGGAAGGGCCTCCGGAGGGAGCTGAGCCAGATTTCTCTGCGGGGAAGAAGGCAGCGATGTGGTTACTTGCAAGGAACTGAACTAGAGAAGGTTGGCCCACATCTTTCATCCTCTGCGGCTTTGTTCACAACTTCCTTTTGCCTGGGCAGCTTATTTACCCACAGCCTTTGCTTGCTGCAACGAGGCCTGTCCCGTCAGTGGACACCAAGGTTTCTCAGGCTGCAGGCGACCATGAAAGTTTGGGATCCGTGCAGGAGAGCAGAGCACCTGGGGAGCTGTGTCCACAGCCTTGCATGCTTCAGTGCAACCTCTGAACCCAAGAAAACCCTGCTTGACTTGCGCGAAGCTGGAAGAAGCTTAGTTCACGCTGGAAGAACCTTTTGTACCATTTTTCACACTACTGCACTACAGAGGGGCTTGGGCTTTTTTAATCCCATGATGGAGAAAAAACATCCATTAGATGCTCTGTGCTACTGGTCTGCATGCACAGTCCTGCACAGGCTAACACAGATGATCCTCCTCCCTCTGAAGGACGAATCTCCTCCAAGACACCTCACATTTACAAGCCAGGAGAGCTTCCACCTGGACAGGGACCAAAGCAACCCCCCCAGGGAAGCTCAGCACCCAGCAGTAACTCGCTGTGCCCTGACACTAGTGACCAACTGGGGTAACCATCACAGAGATAAACCCAAAGCTACAAGGCAGCAGTTTTGCCTCAGTGAGAAAGCCTACCTACATACACAGCTTTTAGGGCACTGTTAGCATAGTAAAACCAAAGCCATTACCTTTCTTTGCAGGTTTCTTGTTGTTGTTTAGCTGCCCACTGACGTCCTGTAACCGTTTTTCTAGTTCTTTCTTCTTTTCCTGAGCTAACTCTTCTTTTGACTTTGCTGCTTGCTTTTTTCCACTTGCAGCTGTAGAGGAGGAACGCACAAATTCTGAAACTGCATGGTTGCAGGCGAAAAAGAGCGGACATCACTATTTTACAGGGCATGTCAATCTGTGCAGCCACTCTGCAGTGACACTGCTAAGAACACGTGACCACACGGTAACTACACATCCCAGATAGAGGACAACACATGAAGTTGTCTAGATCATCCAATCACCATCATCATGTAACATGCACTTTTTAAGAGAGACCTTCTGGAAAGTATTTTAGAAGATAGAAATATCCATGTAATAACCTTGTAGTTACAGGTTACTTACCAGCCAGTTATATGGTCAATAGTTACAGATTTGTAATTACAGAATTGTTACATGGGTTTTCTGCCCTGTAAAATAAAGTGTCCCATTAAAGGTTGTCAGAAGTAAGCATCTGCCATTATAACTTAAGATACCTCATGCAAGAATCTACTGTGTTTTATGCTGCTTTAAATATAAACCAAAACAAAACAGACAAATTAAAAACCGAGGTGAATGCTGGCAGACAAGAATGTAACCGCATCAGTTAGGATGCAAATAGTGAGAAGTACCAGCAATACTCATCCTTCTGAGCAGAAGAAATATCCCTCCAAAGGAGGAGTAACTGAACATAGGTGCAGGCCAGTATCAGAAGCACAAGACAGGGGCCAGACGTTTTGCCTGATCCAGCAAGGAAATACCTACATTTCTGTGTGCTGTTTTAAAGCAATGATTTTTTTTTTAAAAAAAAAAAGAGAGAGAGAAAGAGAGAGAGAGGGAGAAATCCGGAAAGCACGGTCCTAAGAGGGTGCACCCCTGAACACTCAGCATTGCAATAGAGAGCAGACAGCAGGAGAGGCCAGCTGGGGTCAGGCACGCCAGCCTGCTAGCCCAGGGTGTACCAGTCTCAGAGGAGTGGGCAGACAGACATCTGAGGTTATCTGCGTTATTCTGTGCTTTGGTTCCAAAACAAAAGGATGCTTCTTGTTCCTAACCACTCTGGAAAATCTTTTCCTGAGCTATTCCAACAGTGAAGGATGCGGGGGGAGAGTGTGTGTGCGTGTGTGTGTCAAAGCAATGTATTAAAAAAAAAAAAAAAAAAAAAAGAAGGATCAAAGTCTGAGCTTTGCTTACGCCTACCTGAAAGTCCTGTGGTGAGGAAATGGAGGTGCTCTGCAAGAGCTGCGAGTAACTATTGTGTTATACTCTTACAGGACAGCTCCCTCTTAAGCGACAAGCAGATGGACAGAGCCCGGACCACTTCAGGTAAGTGATCCTACCGCTATTCAGCTGGAACTAAACTCTCAAGGGAGCGCAACAATTCACACTCTGTGGGTGAGGCACAGAGAAAAACCTGTCCCATACTGAACCGTACACTCGGCAGTGCATTAACATTAATCCTCTGATCTGATAGAGACTGCGGGCAATATGGTGATCAGGCCATCTAGGAAGAGCAGCTCTGGGGTGAATATACAACTCAGACACTTACACGCAGAACCCACAGGTTGCCCAGGTAACTTTGTGCAAGTCATTTATTCCCTTGGTGTTTTGGATCCCAGCCACGCTTTTTGTTTCCTTCCTAATTAGATGCTAAACTATTCAGGATAAGAAACTGATCCTTCCAAATGTGTGCACATAACACCTAACACAATGAGACCGAAACCTTTATAGTGCCTTCTAGATTCTAGGTAAGTGATAAAGGTATCACACAGATCTTGTAGAGGAACACAATAGTCCTCCAAGCCTCCACAGCATGACATCGTGGGAAGAAAAACCAGAAAGTTTCTGTACATATTCTTGGGAGAAAAGAATCTCTAAAAACCCCTGTCATCACATACCCAACAGCTGGGTAAGAGAATCCCAACATACATGCCCTACCCTGACTCCAAAGCTGAGCCCAAGAGCTGGTGGGGGAACACATGCCCCAGGAGATAACTTACAAAATGGTTTCCTTTGTTTTTTCTGTAAACAAGATTTCACGTATCTCTCCAGTTCTCGTAAAGTTGTGGGCTTCAATGTTTCAAAATCTATTTCTATCTCATCGGGATTGGAGTCTCTGAGGGAAGGTTCCCGTGACTGGATGATGTGCACCACCCTGCCTAGCTTCTCCCCGGGAAGGCGGTTGATGTCCAAGCTGAGCTGTCGTTTCTCATCATAGGTCATGGGCAGACCTTCCTCCTCCTCGTCCGAATCGTAGGTTGCAGATGCCTGTTTGCCTCCTTTCTTGGGCTGCCTGGGGGGGTTGGCAAGCATGGAAACATTCATGGGTATATAGAAGCAATGAACTCTTTTTTCCAACACCCCCCCCCCCCCCCCTTCCACACAACCCACCACGCTATCTGTTTTGACC